TTCTGTGGATCTTTCAACTTTACGAAATGGTTTCTTTGTCATCTTTGCTTGTATGCAAATTTCCCATTTTATATGTTGAGTTTTACATGAGATATAACCATTTTTGGACATATAATTCAAGGAACCAAAATTTAAATGTCCTAGTCTAGCATGCCATAAACAAGAATCAGACTCAATGATGTAAGCAGAAACATAATTTATTTCATTAATACTCAATTTGAACATGCCGTTACAGTTATAGCCTTTTCCAACAAAAACTCCATTCTTAGACACTATTACATGATCAGGTTCAATAACTATCTTGAAGCCTTTCTTTGACAGCAAAGCAGCGGACATAAAGTTTTTCTTCATATCAAGAACATGATACACATTCAGTAACGTCAACTTCTGGCCAGATGTGAAGTTAATCTCAATACTTCCTTTTCCAGCAACATNGTTTCCCATCAAGACTTGTTCAGAATCCTGCACTTCTGCATATGTCTTGAACATCTTCTTGTTATAACAGACATGAATAGTAGCACCCGAATCTAACCACCAGTCTTGAGTATTGTAGCAGCGGTAGCCACATTCAACTCTATGACCATACCAATTTGCATTGCGAAAACCATGGCAACCAGTCCTTGGGCAGAATTTTCCACTACGTTTGCCTTTTCAGAATTTCCAGATTTTTTAATCTTTCCAGACTTTTCGGTATTGCCTGCATTGAAATTTATTCCTGCCTTTCTATATCTGCAGTCCCGAATCATATGGCCTTTCTTTCCACAATGATGACAACTAAAGTTCTTTCTCTTTTTAAAAGAAGACTTTTTGGAAACTTTCAGATGTTTGTTCCCACTTCCTGAACCATTCTGACTGACAAAATTGACTGCGGAACTCGAAGGCTGACTAATAACATCACGAGCATGAGTCTCATTTTCAATTTGAATGTGAGTACGAAATTGTTCCACAGTTATTTTATCCATAGAATGTAGGATTTTCTTTCTATAGTCATTCCAAGAGGAAGGCAATTTCGAAAGAATAGCACCTATTTGAAGTGCATCAGGAATTTTAACTTCAAGATCACTTAGTTTTGATACTAAGATTTGCAGTTCATGAATCTGATCCATTATAGGCCTAGTATCAAATATTTTAAATTCAAAGTACTGCAGAGCCAGGAATTTGTCAATACCTCGTTTTTCATTCTGGTATGCAGTTTGTAGAGCAGTCCAAATCTCTCTTGGCGACTTCAGATTGCAGTAAAGATCATAGAGTCGATCTGTCAAAGTATTCAGAATATGGCCGCGACACAACAGTTCATCATGTTCTCGTTTCTTCCTTTCTTCCTTGACTACGTCAGAATCTTCTGTTGTGGGCTCAGGCATCGGAGGCAAGGCAGAATCAAGAACATAGTAGATATTGAGAGCGGACAACAAGAATATCATCTTGTCTCTCCAACGGGTAAAGTTCGTTCCATCAAAGCGATCAAGTTTGATGAACTCCTTCGGATTCTCAACAACAGACATCAATTTCTCCATAGCAGAATAACTCTTTAAGATTGTTAAAAAATAATAATCAAAATTGGCTTTGAGGCGTGAAAATCGAATGTCCTTAAAGAGTTATCGCCTGTATACTAATTTAGGGAAAATACAAAACGGTTCTCTTCAGGATACAACAAAGCCTGCAATAACACTTGTGATTTTCTATATCCACTTCGTTGGAATTCTTGTGTATTTATAGGCAACCAACAAACCCTTTCAGAAAAGATGTCTTGTTTCACAAATAGACACGACTATTTATTCGAATTTTGAATTTAAAATTCAAACAAACTTGATTTTTCTGTTAAAAATAATTAACTCTAGGATCTCGTGCCTGTTGAGTCAGTCTCGTGCCTGTTGAGTCAGTCTCGTTCCTGTTGAGTCAGTCTCGTGCCTGTTGAGTCAATCTCGTGCCTGTTATATGCTCTTTCATAATGATCAGTTCCGAGGCTAACAGGCACGGTACGAGTAAGGTCAGTCCCGGGGTTGTTTCACATGACAGGCACAGAACTTCTTTCTTCCGATGTGGGAAGAATCCCACTTCCAACATGCCAATAACAAACTATCTTACAAAGTAAATCGTTGAAGTGATTAGCCATTGTGTGCAACAGTGCAAGTCATAGACAGCAAAAGGCGGACTTACGCTAGGAGAAGAGGGTCACCGAACTCGGTTAACTTTGACAAAAAGTCTGAATATATAAGTTTATATATAACAGTCATATATTTTACTTAAAACTCTACAAAAGTTCGAGGAGGCCACTAGTTGAGCAGTTCGCTCATGTGCTCCCATCAGAGGCGGACTGATGCTATACCGAGAGGGATCACCGGCACCCGTAGAATTCGGCAAAAATTTCATATATTCATGTATATGCCTTTAGAAAATAGTGATATATTACTCGTGGAAAGCCTATATACAAAATTAAATTTTGGTTGAATCCAGAAGTGCACCCCTGACTTTTAAATTCTAGGTCCCGCTCCTACCACCTTCGAATTCTAGGTCCGCCTATGTATTACACGAAGTTATTACTTAAAAACAAGTCCATAAATTTAAAAATTAGATATTGAGCTATAGAATGAAGATGCCATGCTTGTCTTCATCCCCATGGACAAACTTCATAGTTAATTGATTACTGGGATTGCACCCTGTAAAGTAAAAATATTTGCAACTGTAGTTTAATATATAGTTTCTATAAATACTCCCATTGGCTAAACACAGAATTGCAGATCACTCAAATAGATTCCTCAATCCTTGCCCTTTAAGATCTCACAAAATACACCACATTTAACTATTTGAGAAAAACTCTCCATATCAGATTTCAGAATTAATTCTTCTTTCTTTCTTCACCTTTGTTTAATCAAACAATCTTTTCTGGAAGTTCAAATTCATTCTGGAATTAAGAGATAATCAGCTTTTGGAGGAAAGCTCAAGAAGAGGTATTAAAGCTCAATTAATTGAATTATAGCATAGTAGGAATTAAAAGTCTTTGGTGTTCTTAATTTTCTCTATGAGCTTTTATTTGTTGTTTTTGGTAAATTATAAGATTTCCTCTTCTATTTTCTTTCAATGGAAACAAAATTAGCCGCAGAATTATCTGGTATTCGGTACTCGTATCAGGCGACTAATTCGAATTCGCAATGCGTAAGCCTCATTAAACCTACTTTCAAATTTGTTTTCTATTCTTAGGACTCGACATCGAGACCTTTGATTAAAAATTAAAGGATCCTATATATCCCACCACATTGCTAAGTGGTTATGCTGCATGTTGACCTTTTCATATATATTTTGTCCTGTCATATATTTTCCTCATCACATGATATACTTGTCATCTAAAGGGTAAAAAATATCATAGTTCTAAGTTCTTGGACTATGTTTCTTCAGTAGTTCAGCCAGCTCATGGCAAATAATTCAAGAAAATTTTAAGCTTGATAAACAATTCCTATAAGTAGCATATGATTTAAGTCATACATAATGATAATGTAAAAATTTCTTAATTTCTTAATATTTTTTTAGTGTAAACCACTTATTCTTATATGCTCGTTTTCATCAAAGAAACTGACCTAGGTTTTGTTGTTTTCCATCAAGTGGCAGTGTCCATTTTGCTTTCTCAATCAATATATTCATTTAAAATTCACCAACTTGATTCTCAAAATCTTTAATAAACCACCTGTTGATGAACTAGATCTTGTGGATTCTTCCTTCCATTTATGGGTCAAAATCGGAAACTTTTGTCCAAATAATTTTTTCACATTAAATAATGGCTATTTTCCTATTAAATTTTAAATAACGGCTAAATTCTAATAGTCGGCCTAAAAAGTGGTCATTCCAACTAATTTTTTTCTCCCTTCATCCCACAAGCCAAAGGCCAAGTCCCCAACCCAAACCAAAAAAAAAAGAGTTAACCTAAATAGATGTTCACCCAGCCACTTAAATTAAAAATAGCTGAAAAATGTATTTTATATGTGTGTATATTGCTAATCATTTGTAATCAGTATAAAAGCTATGTATATTTGCTAGAAAAAGTTATCGGGAAATCCGGCCGCTATTTGTGTACAGATCCCGAAGAAGAAAGAAAGGAAAAGACTTATCTTACGGTAGCATTTTAGGTGACACTCTTTCAAAAAAAATATGTATAATATTTTTACATTTAAAAAGTAATTTAACTATAAACATCATATTTTATCCTTAAAGTTATGATTTATAGTCACAAAATTTCATTAGTTGTTTAAGATTACAAGTTCTAAAATATTTCTTCTTTTCTTAAATTCATGCTCAATTAAACAAGAGGAAGTATTTTTTTCCTTTCGTTAAAAGAAGACATAAAGAATCACAATCCTGATTATTTCCTTTGATATGCAGGTTGTTGAAGAAAAGTTAAAGAGACCTCTTTGTGCTAAACAACCAATTCGATTCTCAAAACAAACAAAACCAATGGAGTACGAAATTTTAGGGTTGGTCCTACTTTTACTTCTATGGGTTGCATGGGCAATGGTAACTGAGCGAAGACAACGGCGGTTGGAAGAATTAGGGCAGTTGCCACCAGGACCAAGGTGGTGGCAGCTAGTTACAAATATATTTCAATCAGGTTTTGCACCTCATGTCTCATTTGCAAAATTAGCCACCAAATATGGTCCTATAATGACACTTTGGTTGGGTTCAATGAGCACAGTGGTAATTTCTTCCAATGATGTTGCACGTGAAATGTTCAAGAATCATGACATGGTGCTTGCAGGTAGGAACTCTTTTTCTTAGGCGGAATACATTGAACGCCCCTTAAACTTGGCAGCATATTTTATTAATTAGACATCCAAACTAAGGTCTGTTCCAATTAAACACCTGAGCGCATGATAATTCCTAGTAGATAGTTGTTTTTTTCTTTGAGGAGATTTTGGGAAATTGGCTCTTGATTTGTTCCCCCTAATGGAGCAGGTCTTTTGTTTTACGGAGTAGTGGATCTTGATTAATTGGGTTCACTTTCATGTTCTTGTTTTGTTTGTTATAACAAAGGTTTATATATGATGCGGAAAAGATTCAAATATACCTTTGTACTATATGAAATTGATTACATTTGTCCTTCATTAATACTTTAGCCTATTTATACTTTTACCGTCACATAGTTGGTCCATATATGCCCTTACAATCACATTGTTGGTCCATATATGCCCTTTTTGAAACGGAATCCACCCGAACTAATTAACTTTTTCTTTAATTGTATTACAAACAATATTCCTTTTTATTCCTTTACCTTTCTCTTTTTTTTTCCTTTTTCTTTCTCCCATATCCAGTTTCATCTCCATTTTCATCACCAATTTCACGTGATTTTATTCCTAAAAATCAAAACTACACCACCAAAAGCTTCCTAGCGAGAAGGCCCTGGTTCTTCTGAAAAGAAGGATATGAAAATTGTTGGAGAAATTTTTTCGGTGGTGTTAATTTAGTGAAGGTAGGATATGGTTATTCAAATTTTGAAGGTGTTGTTCACTGTGGAGCTTCAAATCTGAAGGGAATAAGACCTTCAAAATCCGAATAACCATATCCTACCTTCACCCAATTAACACCATCGAAAATATTTCTTCGACAATTTTCATCTCCTTCAGGTCAGAAGAACCCGCGAGGTTTGTTAATAGTAAACTTAGCAGGAATTCATGAGTTTTGTCCAGTAAAATTGGTGATGAAAATGGAGAAGGCATCAGCAATGGAGGAACTCGGATATTGGAGAAAGAAAAAGGAAAAAAAAAAGTGAAGAAAAGAAAAAGAAGAAAGAAAAGAGAAAGGTAAAGAAAAAAGGTACTAATAAAAAGGAAATAGTATTTGTAATACACTTTAGCACAATTAACGAAAGAGCTAATTAGTTTGGGTGGACTCCGTTTCAAAAAGGGTATATATATATATATGGACCAACTATGTGATGGTAAGGGCATATATGAGCTAAAGTGTTAACGAAATGTGCTCAATTTCGTATAGTACAAGGGCATATAAGGACCTTATCCGTATATGTTATGTATAATTAAAGGAGGTGATATACTTAAGTGGTTAACTTATATATCCACGTAATAGGCGCTTGAAAACACACGCAAAAGCTTTTCAAAGGTTTGATCCCCGAAAGTATTTAATAAAAATATTTTATCACGTATTCAAGTGCTCAATTGGAACTGACTTTACTTCAATTGTCTAAATAAAATGTACCGACAAATTTAAGGGGTTATTGATATATTCCGCCTTTTTAAAATAATGGTGATGACAAATATCTTGATTTTTTTACCAATGCTAAAATTTGAAACCTGGTCTCCTTTGATTTATATCTGCTTCATTAACCGCTACACCACACTGTTCAGGTAGGAAAATATATGAAGCCATGAAAGGAGATTTTGGCAATGAGGGTTCACTCATCACTAACCAATACGGTCCACATTGGCGAATGTTAAGAAGATTAAGCACGAAAGAGTTCTTCGTCACGAGTCGTCTCGACGCCATGAGAGGTACACGTACAAAATGCATTGATCAAATGGTGAAATTCATAGGAGATGCAGGCAACTTTGGTACTACTTCCATTGATGTGGGGAGGTTTTTCTTCTTAATGGCATTTAACCTAATTGGAAACCTCATGTTTTCAAAGGATTTATTGGATCCAAAATCAAATAGAGGTGCAAAATTCTTTTACCATGCAGGGAAAGTTATGGAATTTGCAGGAAAACCTAATATGGCTGACTTTTTCCCTATTTTGAGATGCATTGATCCACAAGGTATTAGGAGAAAGACACAATTTCATGTGAAAATGGCATTTGATATAGCTGGTGGATTTCTTAGAGAAAGAATGGAAGATATGAAAAATGATGAAGAAATGAATAAGGATTATTTAGATGTTCTTCTTCAATATCGTGGTGATGGTGTTGAGGGTCCTTCTAAGTTTTCTTCTCGAACAATCAATGTCATTCTTTTCGTAAGTGCTCTCTCTCTATATATGCTTATAAGTTTGTTGAATTTAAAGTATAAATACTGATAATGTAAATATTTACTATCAGCCAGGGAAATACACCTTACGGCAAGCGGTACCACGTGTCGATTTTTTTATTAAATATGTATATATAGATTGTATACAAAAGCTATACAAATAGAAAATGACACCTCTTGTTATTATAGTGATTTATTCGTTAATTCATTTCTTAAAATGTTGACACCACTTATCAAAAATCATGCGTATGATACTGCTATCAGCGTATTTAAATGGTGTTTGGCTAAGCTTATAAGATGGTCAAACTAGCTTATAAGCACTTTTCGGTTTATCTACGCGTTTGGTAAAGTTAAAACTGCTTATAAGCCAAAATAAGTCAAAAGCCATAAGCTGGTCACCCCTAGCTTATGAATTTTTTGCTTATAAGCACTTTAAGTTTGACCAAGATTTTACTATTTTGTCCCTAAAATATTCCTTTTCAAAACAATACTCCTACATCGATACTCACTTCCTCGCGTATTTTTCAACCTAAACACCCCCGTCTCTTCAAGTTTGCAATTCTCATTGACTATTTGAGGTAAGCAAATTCTCTATTCCTTTGCATAATTTATATCTGTAATTTTGTATTAATCTTTGAACTGTATGTAATAAACGAGGACATATCAAATTTTGGTGTATTGGTTTCAAAGACTTGTGGTGATGAAGATAGTGTTTCTCTTCAAATATATTATCCTATTTAGGTTTATTTTTTTACTGAGAAACTTTTGTCAATTTTTTTAATTATTATAACTTATGATTATATGCTTATCATAAAATGAATTATATTTATCATAAAAATTATCTTATCTAATCACAGTTGTATTTAAAATAAAATGATAAATAGAATATTTTGTATTTGATCGATCTGAAATCTAAAATTTTGAAGAAATTACGTCTCTATAAGTGTAAGCAGTTCTAAGGTTATTCAAGTCATTTTAAAAGAAAAAAGAGCTTATCAACGCTTTTTTATCAAATACTGCAACAGTTTATTATCAATTTCAGCACTTGTATCCAAACACGTAACTGCTTATTTGTTAAATTAATTTCAGCACTTAAAAGTATTTTTCAGCATATAATGCTTACCAACTACTTCAAATCAGCTAATCCAAACGGGCTCTTAATATGTTATATCAGATAAGAAGTCTTATTTTTAAGTTACTATCCTCACTTATTTATGAACTGTTGCCATATGGTTTGGTTGTTAGAAAATGGAGTTTTGTTTTTTCATGATCAATGATTTAAATATAGTTGACAATATACGGCAATTGATCTTTTCAAAGATTTGGTGACAAGCACCTTTTGCCTACGCTAATTGGTTGTTTTAGATTTCTATATCATACCAAAATGAGTAGCTAAATGAGTCAAATAATTATTATTATTACGCAATGATATCAAATTTGAAATATTCCCTTGATCTTTATATTGTTGGTGTGCAATCACAGGATCGTACGCAAAATAATATTGTTCATTGATCTATATTTCATATGGTGATTCTATTAAAGTTGAAAATATAATTGAATAAATATTACATGTGCTTCATGTTGAAAATATAATTTAATAAATAAAAACGTGCTCTCTCTAATAACATTTACTGGTCCATCGTTATCAGGAGATGCTCACAGCAGGGACAGATACAACAACAAGCACGTTAGAATGGGCGATGGCGGAGCTTCTCCACAACCCTACCACTCTCCAAAAAATCCAAGTTGAGCTAAGAAAAATCATCAATCCCACAAAGAAGCTAGAAGAAAAAGACTTGGACAAACTTCCATACTTAAATGCAGTGATCAAAGAAACCCTAAGGTTACATCCTCCACTTCCATTCTTGGTTCCACACATGGCAATGGATTCTTGCACCATGTTAGGGTATTACATACCAAAAGAAACTCAAATTCTTGTTAATGTTTGGGCAATTGGTAGGGATCCAAAGACTTGGAAAGACCCTTTAAAATTCAAGCCAGAGAGATTCTTGGAACCTAATATGGTTGACTATAAGGGTCAGCATTTTGAGTTTATTCCGTTTGGTTCCGGTCGAAGGATGTGCCCTGCAATTCCACTCGTTTCTCGTGTTTTGCCATTGGCGTTAGGGTCAGTTTTGCAAAAATTTGATTGGGTTTTAGCTGATGGGATGAAGCCTGAAGATTTGGACATGAATGAAAGAATGGGAATTACTTTAAAGAAAGCTATTCCATTGAAGGCTATACCTATTGCGTACAAAGGGTAACAAGGAATAATCACTTGAATTAAAGAAAACACTTCAATGTGTAGATAAGGATAATGCTAAGATACTATATTGTGATGAGAAAAAATCCAGTGTAAAAAGACCCCCCACCCCCACCCCCCAAGAGAATAAAGAGAAGTTGCAGTATAAATTGTAAATTTGTAATGTGTCTCTTTGAGCACGATGCAATGCAGTGTTTTTGGCTTAATTTTGGGATGTCATTATATACATTTATATGCATATACTAGATACATATTGGATACTCATGCTGTCATCCAATGATCCAAAGAGAGCTATGTATGAGGGCAACCGGTGCACAACGTATTCTGCGTTCATATAGGGTTCAGGGAAGGAATGCATACCAAGGGGTGTGATGTAGACAACATGTGGGGTCCAGCCCATATGTGAAAGAAGAAAAAACTTCTTTCTTCCTTTTGTCAAGCCAACCAGTTTAGAAAAGATTTGGGCGACTGATTTTTTGCAGTAGTGTTGATGTCACTGCATACATCAACATATGTATTCTGCAACTATAAATAAGTGCCTCTACCTTCATTGTAAGACACACCAATCTCAGAGGAAAAATATATCTGAGAGTTAGAAAGAAAGAGTGAGGTTTCACATACAGCGTATAAGAAAATAGTCAGTGAGAAAAATAGAGAGTGGGTGATACTGTAATAAGGTGGGAATATCAAAATAGGGTTATTTCTTTTGAGTGTTGTAGTGGTCTTTTGAGTATTTTACTCGGACCTACAAAGTGTAAAATTTCTTGCGATAGTGATATCAGTTGCTCTTCTCAGGGCCGTGGTTTTTTCTCTTATTCAAAAGGTTTTCCACGTAAAAATCTTGGTGTCGTTGTTACTCTTTTATTCTTGTTAATTACCGTATCTCGGTGGTACATTATTATTCCACTTTTATTATCGTGAATATTATTTTTGTAGGGGGTTTATTCCCAACAACTAGTATCAGAGCACATGTTCTGCTCGTTCACTGAAATACTATTCACTGTCGGTAGTACTATACTTGGTGAAAAATAAAAATGTCCGGAGTAAAGTACGAGGTAGAAAAATTCAACAGAGATAACGGTTTCTCAATATGGCAAGAAGGATGAGGGATCTGCTAATCCAACAAGGATTACACAATGTACTAGATGTTGATGCCAAAAAGCCTGATACCATGAAAGGTGAGGATTGTGCTGACTTGGATGAAAGAGCTGCTAGTGCAATCTGGTTACACTTATCATATGATGTGGTAAATAACAACATTGATGAAGACATTGCACGTGAAATTTGGACAAGGTTGGAAAGCCTATACCTGTCCAAAATGCTGACAAATAAATTGTACCTGAAGAAGCAGTTATACGCCCTACACATGGGTAAAGGTACAAATGTTTTGTCATATTTAAATGTGTTTAACAGACTAATCACACAGCTTGCCAACCTCGGAGTGAAAATCGAGGAAGAAGATAAAGCCATCTTGCTATTGAACTCGTTGCCATCTTCGTACGATAATTTGGCAACAACCATCCTGCACGGTAAGACTACTATTGAGTTGAAAGATGTCACATCGGCTCTTCTACTCAATGAGAAGATGAGAAAGAAGCCTGAAAATCAAGGACAGGCTCTCATCACAGAAGGTAGAGGCAGGAGTTATCAAAGAAGTTCGAGCAACTATGGTAGATCCAAAGCTCGTGGGAAGTCAAAGAACTGATCCAAATCAAGAGCCAAAAATTGCTACAACTGTGATCAACTAGGTCACTTCAAAAGAGATTGCCCAAATCCAAGGAAGGGCAAAGGTGAAATCGGTGGCCAGAAGAATGACGGCAACACAACCGCCATGGTGCAAAACAATGATATTATTGTCCTTTTTATAAATGAGGAAGAGGAATGCATGAACCTGTCAGGTCTAGAGTCGGAATGGGTAGTTGAAACAACGACGTCTTACCATGCCACACCGGTAAGAGATCTTTTTTGCAGATATGTAGTAGGTGATTTTGGCACAGTTAGAATGGGTAACACAAGTTACTCAAAGATTGCGGGGATTGGTGACATTTGTATCAAGACAAATGTTGGATGCACATTGGTTCTAAAGAATGTGCGGCATGTACCTGATTTGCAGATGAACTTGATCTCGGGAATTGCTTTAGACCGAGATGGATATGAGAACTATTTTTCAAATCAAAAGTGGAGACTCACTAAGGGATCATTGGTGATTGCAAAGGGAGTTGCTCGTGGCACGTTGTACAGGACAAATGCAGAAATATGCCAAGGTCAATTGAACGCAGCACAAGATGAGATTTCTATAGATTTGTGGCACAAAAGAATGGGTCATATGAGCGAGAAGGAGTTGCAGATTCTTTCCAAGAAATCACTCATTTCTTATGCCAAAGGTACAACGGTAAAACCTTGTGACTACTGTTTATTTGGTAAGCAACATATAGTCTCATTTCAGACATCGTTGGAAAAAAAATTGAATATACTTGATTTAGTATATTCTGATGTTTGTGGCCCAATGAAATTGAATCAATGGGCGGTAACAAATATTTTGTTACTTTTATTAATGTTGCTTCACGAAAATTATAGGTTTATATTTTAAAAACCAAAGTCAGATATTTCATGTTTTCCAGAAGTTTCATGCTCTAGTAGAAAGGGAGACAGGTCGAAAGCTAAAGCTTCTTCGAAGTGACAATGGAGGTGAGTACACTTTAAGGGAATTTGAAGAGTATTGTTCAAGTCATGAGATCAGACATGAAAGGACAGTTCGTGGAACCCCACAGCACAATGACGTAGCCGATAGGATGAACCGCACCATTGTGGAGAAGGTGAGAAACATGCTCAGAATGGCTAAACTGCCTAAGTCATTCTGGGGTGAAGCAGTTCAGACAGCCTGTTACCTGATCAATAGGAGTCCATCAGTTCCGTTGGCGTTTGAAATCCCAGAGAGAGTCTGGACCAACAAGGAGGTGTCCTACTCGCATCTGAAGGTGTTCGGTTGCAGAGCTTTTGCACATGTACCAAAAGAGCAGAGAACAAAGCTGGATGATAAATCTATTCCCTGCATATTTATCGGATATGGAGATGAAGAGTTCGGGTACAGACTGTGGGATCCTGTAAAGAAGAAGGTCATCAGAAGTAGAGATGTAGTCTTCCGAGAAAGTGAAGTTGGAACTGCTGCTGATATGTCAGAAAAGGCGAAGAATGATATAATTCCTAACCTTGTTACTATTCCTTCTACTTCTAACAATCCCACAAGTGCATAAAGTACGACCGACGAGGTTATTGAGCAGGGGGAGCAACCTGCTGAGGTTATTGAGCAGGGGGAGCAACTTGATGAAGGTGACGAGGAAGTGGAGCACCCCACTTAGGAAGAAGAACAACCTCAACCTATGAGGAGATTAGAGAGGCTAAGGGTAGAGTTATGTAGGTACCCTTCCACAGAGTATGTCCTCATCAGTGATGAGGGGGAGCCAGAAAGTCTTAAGGAGGTGCTGTCCCATCCAGAAAAGAATCAGTGGATGGAAGTCATACAAGAAGAGATATAATCTCTACAGAAAAATGGCACGTACAAGCTGGTTGAACTTCCAAAGGGTAAAAGACCACTCAAATGCAAATGGGTCTTTAAACTCAAGAAAGATAGAAATGGAAAGCTGGTCAGATACAAAGCTCGATTGGTGGTTAAAGTCTTCGAACAGAAGAAAGGTATTGATTTTGATGAAATTTTCTCACCTGTTGTCAAAAATGACTTCTATTCGAACAATTTTAAGCTTAGCAGCTAGCCTAGATCTTGAAGTGGAGCAGTTGGATGTGAAAACTGCATTTCTTCATGAAGATTTGGAAGAGGAGATTTATATGGAGCAGTCAGAAGGATTTAAAGTAGCTGGAAAGAAACACATGGTGTGCAAATTGAATAAGAGTCTTTATGGATTGAAGCAGGCACCAAGGCAGTGGTACATGAAGTTTGACTCATTCATGAAAAGTCAAACATACCTAAAGACCTATTCTGATCCATGTGTATACTTCAAAAGATTTTCTGAGAATAACTTTATTATATTGTTGTTGTATATGGATGACATGTTAATTGTAGGAAAAGACAAGGGGATAATTGCAAAGTTGAAGAGAGATTTGTCCAATTCATTTGATATGAAGGACTTGGGCCCAGCACAACAAATTCTAGGGATGAATATAGTTCAAGAGAGAACAAGTAGAAAGTTGTGGCTATCTCAGGATAAGTACATTGAACGTGTACTAGAATGCTTCAACATGAAGAATGCTAAGCCAGTCAGCACACCTCTTGCTAGGCATCAAAAGTTGAGCAAAAAGATGTGTCCTACAACAGAGGAGGAGAAAGGCAACATGGATAGAATTCCTTATTCTTCAGCAGTCGGAAGCTTGATGTATGCAATGGAATGCATTAGACCTGATATTGCTCACCCAGTTGGTGTTGCCAGCGGGTTTCTTGAAAATCCTGGAAAGGAACATTGCGAAGCCGTCAAGTGGATACTCAGGTACCTGAGAGGTACCACAGGAGATTGTTTGTGCTTTGGAGGATCTGATCCAATCTTGAAGGGCTATATAGATGCTGATATGGCAGGTGACATTGATAACAGAAAATCCATTACTGGATATTTGTTTACATTTTCAGGGGGAGCTATATCATGGCAGTCTAAGTTGCAGAAGTGTGTTGCACTTTCAACAACTGAATCAAAGTACTTTGCCGCTACAGAAACTGGCAAGGAGATGATATGGCTCAAGCGGTTTCTTCAAGAGCTGAAATTGCATCAAAAGGAGTATGTCATCAATTGTGACAGTCAAAGTGCAATAGGCTTGAGCAATAACTCCATGTATCATGCAAGAACAAAACATATAGATGTGAGATATCATTGGATTCGTGAGCAGGTGGAGAACGAATATTTACAGGTCAAAAATATTCACACGAGTGATAATCCTGTGGATATGCTAACCAAGGTAGTACCAAGAGACAAGTTCGAGCTTTGCAAAGAACTTGTCAGCATGCACTCAAACTAGAAACTCCGGTGTTATCCCCTTCAGGTGAATGGGACTGAAGGGGGAGATTTGTGGGGTCCAGCCCATATGTGAAAGAAGAAAAAACTTCTTTTTTCTTCCTTTTGTCAAGCCAGCCAATTTAGCAAAGAT